TTTCAGCAAGACAATGTCAAACCACATTCTGCATGTATTACAACAGCATTGCTCTGTATTAAAAGAGTCCGGGTGCTAAACTGACCTGCCTGCAGTCCAGACCTGTCACCACTGAGAACATTTGGCGCATTACGAAATGAAAAATACGACAAAGGAGACCCTGAAATGATGAGCAGCTGAAATCCTGTATCAAACAAGAACAGGGAAAACATTTCACTTTCAAAACTACAGCAGTGTCTCCTCAGTTCCCGAACACTTACAGGGTGTTGTTAAAAGAAGAGGTGATGAAACACAGCGGTAAACAGGCCCCCCAACTTTATTGGCATCAAATTCAAAGCGGGCATATATTTTTCAAAAACAAAAACATTTCTCAGTTTCAACATTTGATTTGTTGTCTTTGTACTATTTTCCTATAAAAATATGGTTTACATGATTTACATATCACTGCATTTTATTTTTATTTACATTCTGCACAGCGTCCCAACTTTTTTGGAAACGGGGTTGTATTTGATAATGTTTGTTTTAGCCTTTTCATGTCTCATGATGACACAGTACAGGTTCTGGGGGATGTAGCACAAATATATGACCAGAGTTTTACTCGTTTGTGTGGCAAACCAAATAATTCCTGGACACCATAACCAGCACTGGAAATTCTTAGAGCAAGCTCTGCTAAAAATGAGGAACAATATATTTGCAAGGTTAGTATTTTTTCCATTCCGTGCGGCTCCAGCGTGCACAGTGGGCATAAAAGCAGCTATGAGTGGATTCTCTTCCTGTTATCCCACAGAGAACTGAATGAGGCTGCTTTGGTGTCTGGTAGCAGAGTGTGAGCTGAAAGGCTGGCACCACGCTGTGGTATTTACCACTCTGAAACACGAGCCTCAGACCGAGACTGAATGAAGACGTCAGGTAGAATTGAGGCCTGTTAAAGCAGGATCCTCAGTCACTTCTCACCGGGCTGCCTCTTCATCATCAGCTGTTTATTCAACAGATATTCTGACAGTATTCAGCACTGTGTGAAGGTTTTAGATGAAGCAAAAAAATGCAGTAAATGTTAGAAAAGCACAGGTTTGGTTCGTGAAAGCAGCAGCAACAGCGCACAAGCAATATCGGGTCTTAGTGCAATAGAATCAAAACAGTGTTAATGGTTATTTTGTAGTTCACAAGAGTGCACACCACTGCACACACAAGTTATTTCACTGCAGAATATTAAAGTGACTGGCACCCAAAATCATTATTAAGTCAATCACACTGGATCATTAGCTGATACTGAACACTTTTTAAAACGGTAGTTTTAGTTAAAATTATCCTAAAAAAACAGCAAAGCAGTTTAAAGTGTCACGTCACGCACATTCTAAAAACAAAGTATTGTTACTACAGCATTATTTGGTGGACTAGTAATATCGTCGCTGTCAAAACAGTCTCCAAAATGGTAGCAGAAGGAAAAAACACACTTTACTTTTAATGTAAGTCAATGGAACCAGAATTTTTTTTCAAGTAATTTTGGACTTTTATCTTTTAGTTCATTCATCATGAAATTTATTCAAAATGTAAAAAATGTAAATAGCAACTGACATGTACGTATATATATATGTGTGTGTGTGTATATGAGGTACGGGTGGCACGGGTAGCGCTGTCGCCTCACAGCAAGAAGGGCCTGGGTTCGATTCCCGGCCGGGTGACCAGGGTCCTTTCTGTGTGGAGTTTGCCTGTTCTCCCCGTGTCTGCGTGGGTTTCCTCCGGGTACTCCGGTTTCCTCCCACAGTCCAAAGACATGCAGTCAGGCTGAGTGGACATGCTGAATTGCCCCTAGGTGTGAATGTGTATGTCTGTCTGTCTGCCCTGCGATGGACTGGCGACCTGTCCAGTGTGTATCCTGCCTTCCGCCCAATGACAGCTGGGATAGGCTCCAGCACCCCACCGCGACCCAGAAGGATAAGCGGTTTAGATGATGGATGGATGGTATATATGAGGTGAGAAAGGTGAGATGAGCTGCTTTTCCACCGTTTACAGGCTTTAACTTCTGTTCGGCGCTGCTGCCATGGTAACGCTGAATGAAGGCGCAAGTGCAGTGAAAGAAAAGCACATGAATTCCGATCTGAGCGTCACATTAAGGTCACAAGGAATCGGATACGTATCCGATCTAGGACCACATATGAAAGTGGCTCAGGTCAGATTTGAAAAGATCAGATTTGTGTGTCCAGACAGCCCTGAAAACATCAGATCTGAGTCACATTGGAGCAAAAAATCGGATTTGTGCCGCTTCAACCTGGTAATGTGAACGTAGCCTCAGTCTCTCTGATAGGGTCTGCTCTCAGACAGCACTATTCGAGCCCAGAGCCAGCAATAGATTTACCAATGAGACATTCCGCCTGAGGGGCAGCGATCACCACTGCCAGAGAAAGAAGCATATTAATAGTCTTAAACTTGTTTTATTTCTTTCTGGCTCTCTTTTCTCACTTCTTCTTTGTCTTTCTCTGTCTCGCTCTTGTTCACTTGCTCTTTTTTCCTCTCACACACACACACACACACACACACACACACACACACACACACACACACACACACACACACACACACAGGCAGCAGTTTATGAATGACAGATTCAGGCCTTGCTCAGTGATCTTGCTCTGAATGGAGCTCTAGCTAGGGGACAGTTTTGGCACTCCAGCTACTCTCCATT